AACAGTGTAACTTTGTTCATCTACGTTTTTCTGTGACTGGGACAAGTATTTGTTACAACCTTTGATTATCACTTGCTGACTCATTCAGCGATAATTAATGGGTAATTATTGCTATCAGTAAAATCCTAACTGTTTATAGTTACTCAGCTATTAACACTTAACAAAAAGTAAAGATGCAAGGAAATTTCTTCCATAAATAAAGTTAGAAAACTTAGTACAACCCTATACCTCTTTATTCCCGATTCAGTGTGGCCTGTTCCTGTAGCTATAGGACAGGAGCCTCAAAGAGTTTTAAATCGTCTTTCACTCCAAGTGAATGTCAATTACCCAGTGGCCACATAACAAAGTTGTAAAAGCTCTGTTCAGGAGAGGCAGTACACCGAAGTATGACAAAACCACCTGCACATGCTTTGCATTCTGAAAGGACTTATTTTAGGACAAAAACATTAGGCCAGGATTTTTTCCTCAGGACCAAATGTCAGAGACGAGGTAAGTGAAAGACATGATCTAACGCCCCTCAAAAAGAGCTATTTTTACAGATAACACGGTAGAGATAACGGTAACTCTTGGGCTGCAATAAACTGTTTTCCAATCCAAAAAGAAGAAAGCTCAGAACAAACACTTCTTGGTTTTTACAGATAATCCTGCTGAATACCCCTTTTGTGTTGATTTTGTACCACCTTGTGTTTTGCTCTAGATGTTGTAACTGGTGCCAGGAGAATAAGGGAGCAGGGAGGCTGAATAGAAGAAGGTACTTTAGATTGTAAAAGAAGCTCTTGGACTTAAAAAGAGGTATTTTAAGTGCAAATTGCAATGGTCTTTAAACAGACACAAGGAAAGAGAAGGTTGAAGTCAATATACACATTCAGAAGTATCATGTGATACATCCATCTTGGAACTACACTATTTTAGAACAATGTCAGCGAACTACTTGTCTGAATTAAAACCAAATTCTTGCCTGAAATACATACATACATACATACATACATACATACATACATACATACATACATACATACGTAAGTACAGCACATCAGGCCAAAGATTAAGCTAGAAATCCCGTTTGCATCATTCAACCTTTCTTCAGACATAGAAGTGTTTGAATAAGGGATTCAGACACAAGTTAACTGCATTGTAAAGGGATCACATGGCAAAAGAACCGTATCACATAACATCCCTGAACAAGTAATTAAGCTTGAAGACTTACCCAATGACAGGATGAACTACTATTGAACGTGGGTTGTTCAAATTCTGGACAATGGCTCGCCTTGATCTATCAGCCAATCTCATGACACTAATGCTTCTATATCGAGGGTCTGTCCAATAGATATTCTTTGAGATCCAATCGAAAGCCAAATCTTCAACGCTTTCCACTCTGTTAGCTGCAAGAACCTCCCTGCCTAGTATTTAGAAAAACAAGACAGAAATTCATCAAAAGAGGAAAAGGCTACTTTCTTTGCGTCGTTTTTCTTTCTTTGGTAGGTTTGAAGCTTAGTATGAGAAATAGTTAACAATGTGTTTGGATTTAACCACCTTCCCTCAAGGACTTAGGAACTGTGTAGTGGCAGAAAATGTCTTCTGCATGCACACCCTGTCATTTTCTATTAAGTGAGGCAACAGAGTTGCAAAAAGCAGTCTGCCAATCAGACCAGACAGTACTAGTCCAGATACAACATTAGTCAACTTCAATATATGGCAGCTTTACCCATACTTACAGATCTTCCGTTCTCCTAAATCACTAAGCCATTCTGCTTCTCCAAAACAGCAAATCTGTGTATGTGTGAACTGCATTTGACCACTGCTTTTGGAACAGGACACTATACACCTTACCATTCAGTATACCAGAAGGAGGGAACCATCTTTTTTCCAAAAATAATGAAATATTGCATAGATTATAATTATTCAAAATTTGTCTGCTCTGCCATTATATTTTCACTGTTGTTTTATTGCTTTTATTATTATAATTATTGTTTATGACTATGTGCCGGATTCCAAAAGATCTCCTGTATGGAGAATTAGTGCAGGGAAGCCGCCCCCGAGGGAGACCACAGCTGCGTTACAAGGACATCTGCAAGCGGGATCTGAAGGCCTTAGGAATAGACCTCAACAGATGGGAAAACTTGACGTCTGAGCGTTCAGCCTGGAGGCAGGCGGTGCATCACGGCCTCTCCCAATTTGAAGAGACACTTGTACAGCAGACCGAGGCAAAGAGGCAGTCCCGAAACAAGCAAAACCAGGGAGCTGGACAGGGGACAGATTGGATTTGTCTCCAGTGTGGAAGGGATTGTCACTCTCGAATTGGCCTTCTCAGCCACACAAGACATTGTTCCAAGACATCCATACAGAGCACGATACCATAGTCTCTTGAGACTGAAGGATGCCTACACATGTGCCCTTCTGTTTGCTGCCCAGAGTAGTAGCCTATAGTACGTGGGCAGGATTGAAATGTAAATAAATAAATAAAAAAATGCATACGTACGTACCTCCCTCCCTCCCTCCCTCCCTCCATACATACATACATACATACAAAGACATGCCAAGTCAAATTAACAAAGGAAAATCAAAATCAACAAGATTTGCACTATACCTGTCCCATCTGTTTTTTGTTTATAAATTATGTCCTTAATGGTATCAGAGTAGAAGATGGTGTCTTCCTGAGCATAGAAGTCAATCCCAACAAAGTAGGAAGGGCTGCCTGTAACAGGAATGATAACATCTTCCTGGGTAGAAAGATTAAATGGGATTCCACGAACAGCTAGCTGTGATGAGAAGAGCAGAAACTGTTGCACAGCTGTAAGAGATAACAAAATAAAATGTACTTACTTTTAAGCTCCAATGCACTTGAAGCAGTACTCTTTTTTAATTTGAAAGTCACACTTTAAAAAAAAATAATGATGAAGAGAATAACTGTGATTCATAGAAGAAGAACAATCCACAATACAGAAAAGGGAAGAGAGGTCTTCAATTAAAAATGAAAGATGAGGACAGAACAGCAAATTACATTTTAAAAAATATGCAAAAAAAATTAAGAAGGTACAGGATGTAACAAACATTCTGAAGCTCAGTGGAACTATGTCTGGTCAGGGAATGGGTGGGAAACTACCTAAAAAGCTAACATTTCATAATGACCGAAAAAGTGTAACAACAGAACCCAGCACATACCCAAGATCCTCTAGGACAAAGGTCGTCAATCTCCATGGACTGAGCCGGACCGGGCCGCAAAGACAGACCTCCCAGGGGTCCCCGCACACACTCCCCCCACAGCTGCTTTGCGCGCATACACACGTGCAAGCACCTGCCTGAGCGCTTCCCCCACCCCTTCACACATGCACCCGAGCACCCATGTGAAGGGGGGCGTGCACATGGGCATATGGGCAGTCCGGCACGAGCTGGCATGTGTACTCCCCACCACTTCACGCACGCGCCCGAGAGCACACGTCCCCCCATGAGAGAGTGTGTGCTCCTTCGTGCATGCGCACAAGGGTGAGGGGGTGCCCCACCTTCCTCAGCCAGTCCACAGTACCGAAAAGTTTGGGGACCGCTGCTGTGGGATCAGTAAAATCGGTTGGATTTTAGGCACAGTTAAGTCTTTGGATTGCACTCACAATCTACAGTACCTTTCAGTGGACAAAACCATCTGAGATACAAGAACACTTGTACCAATTAAAGATGCAACTGGTCAGCCAACAACTTCTACTATCATGGGTATCATCTCTGGAAATGGAGATTGGCATTTTCAGAGGCATATTACCTTCTGACCGAGTCGCTGTTGCATTGTATCTGAAGGGAGATGATTTTCCCACCAACTGAGCACAACAGTAACACAACCGCTAAAGAATCTGCCAGTTAGGGATCAATGGGAAGATAGATTTAAAAAGCAGGACCAATTACCAAGCATTGCTATTGGGAGTGCTCCTGTTCATTGTTCTGGCCAACCAAAATGTTTTTTTTTTTGAGGGGGGGGAGACTGCATCCCATTCCCATTCCCATTCCCATCACTTTATTTGTCCCCACTCTCCTTCAATAGTTCATCAGCATTACTGTAGAGGACCCTCAGTCTTCCTTGGACTGTGGTGCACAGTCCACCGCCACAAACACTATTTTTTTTGTCTCTGCAGGAGTTTCCAACAAGCATGCCAGTGCCACCCTCTCAGTCATGACTGATGCTCTCCAGACTCTGTTCAGGAAGAGGTTCATTAAGCCAGGCCAGAAACAAATTCTGTATCCTGCTCCCTTTCATGATATTTCCACAAGGCACTTTGTATGTACTGTACTCATAAAATAATTTCCATGTTTGTCTTTCTAAAGCACTGGCTGTGTGTTTCACGGTGAACATCAGAATTTTGAACGAGATTTCTTGGAACTAAAGTAAGGCCCATGAGTGGCCTGCAGTTATGGTCCTAACAAAAGAGATTCCACCACAATGGGAATGTAGGAAAGAAAAAAAAATGTGTGCTATCTCTATAGAAAGATGTGCCAGTTTCACCTGTATCCTGCTGTTTCCCATAACTAGGTACTGCAGCTCTGAGGTGTAAATATATTGAAAGTGGAGGGAAACAATGCTGTCCAAAAAGGACACGGCAAGCTCTTACCAATGCAGCGGCGTCCATCTGTGTGCAAGTCAAAGCCCAGCATGCATTTGCAGCGATAGCCAAGACCATCATTATCTGTTTTGTGACTGAGAACACAGATCTGCTCGCACCCTCCATTATTACTGCCACAGGGATTTCTTACTGAAAAACAACACAGTTAGAAACTTACAATTTACCAGCAAATTTTAGGCTTGTGGTTGTTTCTAATTTCAGTAGCATTTTTCATCTAAGAGAAATTTAAAATGTTAATTATTCTCTACTCGTATAATATGATGCTGGATGACACATCAAAAATACTTAATCGGATTTTTGGATTTAACCATTCCATCTTGAATAAACTTTCTGAATCAAGTGCTGAATGATTAAAGCTCAGGTCAATCTCATGGACTGAGTGGCCAAAATCTTCTTCCCTAATTATGCTAGCATAATACTTTTGGAGGCAAATTACCTCCAGTTACAAAATCACTGTAGATGTTATCTGTTGCATACTGAGCTATGTGGCTCAGGGTTAAACCGCTAATGTCTGTAGTAAATTCGTAACTTTAGGCAATTTGCCTCTAAAAGTAACACCACTTTGGGTAGCTAAACAAGAAGATTTTGACCAATGGGTCTAATTTACTTGGGACATCAAATGTATTTAGGCCTTTGCATTTTATTACCACCAAAACCATTGGTCGCCCAAAGGATCTGATCATAGCTAAATGTTCTCAGGGCACTACAGACCTGTTATTTCGGTTTAAAATGTACTCTTCTAGCATAACTACTTTCTTACTTCTAATTATTAGGAACAGGGAAGTCTTTTTCTGTTCAGAACTGTCCTACCATGGGATTAATCTGCAAAATATGAAAAAGTCACATTTTCAAATTGTAACTACTAGCTACCTCCCAAGTTGTAGTCATATGTGACAATACTGCTGTTGAGCAGCATATTCACATATTAACAATAAGCCATGGATCTAGGCTTAATGAACCATAGAACCAGACTCATGAAGTTGGAAGGGGCTTATGAGACCATTAGTACAGCCCCTTGCTCAGTACAGGAATAGAAATCAAAGGATATCTGCCAAGTGGTTGTCTAAATTTCTCTCGAATGACTCCAATGTTGGAGCACCAACCATGATATGAACAAGCTGCACAATCTCCCCCATGTGACCAAATAAAGAAACGAGGAACAGCAGTGTTCTGTATGACATCTAATCCTGAAATTACAACTAACAGCACCAAAACAAACCAGGATCACAATTAATTTTGATCCAGGGTTTGTTCTCCTTTCCAAATCCTAGCATGTTTTGTAACCATAATGTTAAATTTGGGTATCGTGCAAAGCTGTCCCTTACCTGCTCTATTGCAAAGAATGTGGCCTGGGTGCACTAGTATATATATTGTGATTATTAACCCAGGACTTCTGTGCTTTGTGAGAATGTGCCAGAGAATTCAGAATCCTGAAAATAAAACCATCCATGCTGCTGGATCTACAAGCCATTCCCTCTGCTGCTTTCTGCTTTAATTTTGACAGTGAACATTCCAGTATAACTTTACTTTCTGCATGGATTATTTAACAACTATTAGGGATGCTTGCTTCCTGAAAAACATTGAGCCTACCCTTTCATGAAGCATAGGTAACAGTATTTTCTTATAGAGACTTACCGTATGGTTGCCTGAGAGCATGATATATCGTCACTCCATAAGGACGCAAGGAAGACTGATAGATCACTTGCGGGTTGGAATCTGAAAATTTGTTTGCTTTCATCACTGCCATCTTGGTCCAATCCGTAAAATACACATGATGTTCAAAAAGGCTTAGTCCATAGGGATGAGGAATCAATGAACCGCCATGAGCTATTGTTCTCCTATATTTGAGCCAAAGAGATTTTTTTTTCAAAAAAACTGAAAATAGTGGTTCAAATTCTAAAAATTAATTGTTTCACCTATTTCTTAGTATTTCTATTGAGATGACTCTACAACTCTCGGAGAGAATTATAAACTCATGGGTATCAGCAAAGAAGAAAAATCATAATAATAGAGCAATGAAATTTGGGTGATATAAACCAGAAATGCCAAGCACACACAATGTTATTTCAGAATATGCTACCTACAAAAACATTTCTCTCCTATTAAACAATAAAACAAGCAAAATTCAATGTGAACCTTTATACAGCAATAAGCATTTTATCTCACAGAAAGAAAGATTATACTCTGCATTCTTAGGACACTAAAAGGTTGAAATAGCCTTGAAAAGACCAGCCAGATTAGAATGGAAAAACAAAGGTAGGAGCCAAACTTTAAAATGAAGTTTTCTGTTAGAAATGAAAGAAGCAAGTGGACAAGAACCTGGGCAGTGTTGTGTGCAATTTAATGATCACCATTTGCAATACAGATATCTTTTCCCCTCTAAGTCATGTAAGGATGAATATCTGAAATCAGAAAATCCTCCCCCTCTCCTCTGACAGTAATATACAAATCAACCTGTGCAGTGAAACTGCCTTCTCCTTCACTACAAATAGGATAAAGACTAACACACATAGGGGCATATTCCTTTTCTCTTCCCTATTAATAATCCAAGAAATGGTATGTTACAAGATATTCTCTAGTGTTCATGATAAAAATGGCCCGAATCTGCTGGCACTGTGGTAGGGATGCACCAGAGCTTTCTTCCATTCCCATCTATTTCCTCAGGAAGATACCGGAAAACCACCTCTGGAAGATTTCAGGGTCCTCTAGAAATAGCCATTTTTCACACTTTCTCCTACTCAGTATAACCTGTTCTTCCAAAGAAGAGAACTGAAGAGCTAAAGGTCAGAGGTTTCACAAGAGAACTTAACATCTTTACTCATTATGGACTGGACTGGCTTTATAATCTTCTGTGGATTTAACAGACATCTAGAACGATGCAAATTAAAAGTAAAACGCAGTTCTCATGGTTAAAAAGATCCTCAGTTGAACAAGTACAGCTAAATCACCAACAAAATTCACTACTTAAAATCTTCTCCCACCTCTGCAGTCCATCGTAAGTTACAGTTTCGATGTAATCAAAACGGCTGTCCACCCAGTAAAGTCTCTTTGACACAATATCCAAAGTTATTCCAGCAGGCCAACCTAATTTTGTTTTAACCAAGTCTAGACGGTTCGTCCCATCCATGAAGGCTCTTTCCACTTTAGGATCACCAGACAGACTATCCCAATCCGAGAAAAACAAATAACTGGAAAAAGGGAGAAGAAAAATATTTTATTAAGCATCTTTCCATTTTTTATACAAATATAACAAAGAGTCTTGGGGCATCTTAAATATCAGCAAGTGCATTGTGGCATAAGTTTTCACAGACTAGAACCCACTCTATGAGTTGACTGAAAGATCATCCTAAACTAGCAAGACACACGTTACAGGCCATCTTAATATTTAAATGTAAACAGTAGTTTTACATGGACTGTTCAACTAGATCACAGTGCAACTTTAAGTATGTTTGCCTAAAAGTAAAGCTCCCTAGAGCTCCTTAGCAAGTTGCTTCAGGATGTATTCTCCATCTTTTAAACCAACATGTCTTCCTATTGTAAATCCCACCTTTGAGGGCTTCTATTGCACTCTTTTTACCCCCATTAAGTTTAAGTGTACTTGCACAATCATGGAAACCCATAGAACTGTATGGTTAGAGTTTAATCCAGCAAAGGGCCTAGTGGAGAACAGCTGTGGTATACAAATTCCCTGCCCCTCTTGGAAGTCAGGCATATTTCAGGATTGTAAAATTTAAACTGGTTTGTACTAGAATCCTGACAGCGACCAACCAACCCCAGATAAGGAGACATATAGCCTAATCTAAACAATTTTTAGCCAAGGAATTCTCTTACGTGTGTAAATGGAATGAAGCTCACATCTCTTCCACGCAAAACTCTATTCCTGCTTAACCCTAGTTCTCTTCCTTCCAGCAATAAAGGCTCTCTGTGAAAAAGACTTTCTGGCCCAAGAGATAAATGGATGTCTCCTCTTGTTGAGCATTTGAACGTTCAACAAGAGACAAAAGAGCCTCAAGCTTCTACTAAGACTTATTCCTCCATTTCTGGCATCCCAAGGAAGCTATAAGCTCTACCATTTACAAATGAAACTGTTGTGTTTTATTAAGCGTTATAACTTACCCAACAGTAGGATCGACAGCTATTCCTCTAGGGTTTCCCAAATTCTCAGCAATAAGAGTTACACGGTTAGTTCCATCCAAATTCACCATGTCAATTCTGTTGACGCTGGTCTCCACTATATAGAGTTTATTGTTGATCCAGTCCACAGCTAGGTTTTCAGGTGTGTCAACCGAAACATTCAAAACTTCATGGACATCAGAGCCATCAAGGCTGACTGAAAACACCTGAAAATAAAAGTGTACCCTAGAGTAGTGGTTCTTTGAACACACTGCAAAGGCGCCTGCCATGTTCACAAACACGCTGCATAAATGTTTTGCACAGCCTATGGAAGAGGAAGTATGAAAATGTTGGCACTTCCTAATCATGCTTCATTTCTTCCCAGTGTGAACCCCTCCCTGCTTTCTTTGGTTTGTTTTTGAAATGGTTAGGGCTTACATCTGAATTAGCAGCAACAACTCTTTCCCCTCTCAGCAACGGTTTAAAAGTAAAGATTCGTTTTGCAAATCTGGTTGGCATTGACTATATTTAGCACTGGCGCAAGTGCAATGCTGTTCCTGTGGTTAAAACAAAGTATGAAAGGGGAAGAATTTGTGTGGGAAATTAAGAAGGGAGAGCAAAGAAGTATAAGCCTATACCATATACCCAAATTACCTGGAAGGGTAGGTCTACCTACCTTTTTTAAACAAATAATTGAACACTGAAAAGATATGCATTGGGTCTACGCCCTTTCGAGTTCTCTCTTCACTTGTCTGCTTAACAAAACTCACTCTGGCCTTAAATCAAAACTGGATTAGATCAGACTGGGCTGGATTCTAAATTGCCTTTCTATAAATGGAAAGATGGTTTCCATTCAGGGGATGAATAGAATGCACTGGAGGCTCCAGATAAAGGAGGGATTATTATTATTATTATTATTATTATTATTATTATCATCATCATCATCATCATCATCATCATCATCATCATCATCATCATCATCATCATCATCATCATCATCATCATCTGCAGATTTCTATTCCTCTCCTAGCCCCTGAACCACCAGTTCATTGTTTCAACCCTCCAAAGCATCTTAAGAATATAGACAACAGGTAGGGCAGACAAACGGGTCCCCTTGTCAATTTTCCCATTATACTGAAACGCATTCTAGATGCATTTAAACTGAAGTAGGGATAGCTATATTAACATATGGAAATTCTGTGCAAAATATCTTTTTAAAGTACAGTAGTATCTTTTGTCTCCCAGACTGATGCAAAGGTGGCCACCTACTTTCTGAATCCTGCCCTTGGAGGTGTTTGGTGAAGTAGGAAGTAGAGAGAGGAAGGGACAGAAGCCTCATTTGGCACCCCACACCAGCCTCTATTCCTTGATACACAAGACCTATTATGGTCTTTATCCCACTAAGCTTCACAGATACTCCCTTTTTTCATAGCTCTAAATAAGAGTGGATTTAGCTGTAAATCTGGAGCAACAAGATATGACCTAATCTGACAGACCCAGTGACTCTCGGGTAAGAAGGGAAGTAAGGACTCCTCCAAGATGCTCTCTTCAAAAACAGGTCTAGACGTCTTAAACAATTAGGTAAAGCCAGAAGAGATAGAAGATGGGAAGCATTGGCCAAGTTGCCAGGAACCAGCTTATTTTTTTTTGGGGGGGGGGGATTGGCAGTGAAATTTTTTCAGCCAATTTGAAATGCAAAAGAAAATGTACCTTCCTATTCTTTTACATAGACCTCTAAATGGATAGCTCCCTTTAAAAAACCCTTAAATAATGTGAATTTTAAATTGAACATATTTTGGAGAAAATAAAATAACAAAAGCATTGCAAAACAGCAAAATAAAATATTGGCCCATAGTACAAGGTACTGCTAATATTTCTTACCCAAAAACTCAATTAGCAGTAATATTCTTGAGGAATATCTCATTTTTATCTTCCCAGAGAACACTGTACCTTCACATTTTAAATGATCATGTTTCAAGAAATTGCAAAGGAAAATACATCCAGTTTTCGAAAGAATGTCTACTATTTCTCTTAATTAGGTTTTTGGACTCCCCTTCCAATAATATTAAGACTTTCTCAAGATAGTACCAGGGCATAATAGCATGCTTTGTTTAATATATCACATGTAAGAGCATAGCTTGCAAATGCAGTAATTATCTGAAAAACCAATCTCAGAGTTCGTTTTTGTTGGAAAACAAAGAAAGGACCTGCGCCTGTTCACAGAAATGAAAAAGTTATCAACACATCCTGCTCTTGGATCCATCTGGTTCCAAGAATACCATTTTGCCCAACATTTTCATCTACCTTATCTTGCACAGTATCTGTCCAAAATATCCGACGTAGTTGAAAATGAAAGTCGACACCAACAGCAACTCCACGATTCTGGGATTGGACCAGAGTCCGAAAACTCCTTCCATGCACATCTCCAATCAACAAATCACGGCCATTGGAAAATATGACAGAGGCAACTCCAGCTGAAAGTATGAATGGCAACAATTGAGATCTACTATGTAGTATATAGACATGAGTGTACATATTGAAGAAATGATAGGTAATGTTCCAAACTTAACAATGATCTTTTATGGTATTCCTTTAACTCAGCATTCCCCCACTGGGCACCCTCCAGCTGTTTTCGATTTCTCAACAGACTTAGACCCAAACTGTCAAAGGTCAGGATGCCGACATCAGGCTTACGAAGGCAGCCTTAAACGATATACCTTTTAGAATGTCATTTTTATGGAAACTGCAATGTTAATCTCCAATGTATATAATATGATTAAAGTTCTCCAAGCTGCCCATACAATTATCTGCTTCTATGAAAATATATCAACGTGATTTAGTCTATGATGATGATGACGATTGTGGGCCATCAAGTCAATTCTGACTTACGGCAACCCTTTCCAGGGTTTTCTAGGAGTACCCAAAATTGTTTTACCAATCCCTTCTTCTGGGGGCACCTTGGGACTATGTGATTTAGTCTATGATGATGATGACGACTGTGGGCCATCAAGTCAATTCTGACTTACGGCAACCCTTTCCAGGGTTTTCTAGGAGTACCCAAAATTGTTTTACCAATCCCTTCTTCTGGGGGCACCTTGGGACTATTAGTACCCAGAAGTGTTTTACCAATCCTTTCTTCTGGAGGCACCTTGGGACTATGCAGTGTGCCCAAGGCTATACAGGCTGGCTCAAACTCCCTACCTCTGGCTCCGTAGCCTGATACCTAAGTCACTGAACTATCCAGCCAGCTAGTCTACTACACTTATGTCAAGAAAGGTTTGGGGGACATTTCCTGCAAGGTGCTTATGATCTGACCTAAACTCCGATTCCTATTCAACACTTTTAAGTCAGGGGTTCCCCCAAAGTGTGCGCTGTAGCACCCTGTGGCCCGTGTAGTGCCCCATGGCTCCTTGGGCCACTGCCAAGCCAGCTAGAAGCCATGCGAAAGCTTCTCTTTGTTTTTTCACTGAGCCAGCAGTGGTGATGGCGGTGCTGCTGCTCCTTTGGCTCTGGCTCCTTGGCCTCTATAGCCGCCCCTCACTACTGCTCCTCCTGCTCTGCTGCCACTGCCACGACTCAAGGGAGCCACAAATCCAGACGGTTTGGGAACCACCGATTTAAGTGATCATATGGAAGAAGTATATATGTGGTTAGTGACTATAGTAGAAGCCATGCCCATTGTTGTGGTTTGCAAATTTATCTGATTTTGTCACGATGGCAAAAGATGAACAACTACATGCACATCTTAAAATATAAAGGAAAAAAATTACTAGTTTCAATCATAGGGTTCAACACACTGATACCAATGGGACTTAGAAGTGCTTCCCTTTGGCTGAGATATACTTTATTTTTGTTGCTTACTAAGGAAACTAGGACAAAGCCCTGCTTGATCCTTGATCAACACCCCATCAATGGAAAACAGATGGGACAGGCAGTGACAACACGGTATTGGAGAAGCACTACAGCATTTTATTCAATGCCATTTCATTTCACATCAGTGTATTGCTAGCTTTTTCTTCAAGTATCTGGAGGATGACAAGCTAGCTCTAGCTTCCAAACCATCATTCAACAAAATAAAAAATAAGCCATTCTAGATCTCCTTACATGAGACATTAGCTCGGCAATGGCGATGATGCTCTAGGACATAACCTTCTGCACAGCGACACTGGTGGTGGCCAACACGGTCTTCACACATTTGGTCACAAACACCCCACATCTTGCAATCGTCAAAATCTGTGGCATGGCAAGGTTGTAAACTTTAAGAATGCATTTGACTGAAGACATGTATCAATTACCATCCGTCAATAAGTAGAGTCTAAGCCGTTAACTCATGTAACTTCCTCTTTCATTAGATGTAAATGTCAGATCTGTTATTCTTTTTAAAACACTATTCATGAAGCTATGAAATAAGTGCACAGCAACTATGCTAAATCAGAGGCCTGATTTGTGATTCATTAAAACTGCCTTCCTTAAAATATAGGGACCGTTGCACTAGTAGCTTGAAGAGCTTTCTCAGCATCCTGTTTAACTGGAAGGACAGGCCTAAAACATCCATCTCTCACAATTATGGTGATTGTTGCCATTGCTTTCTCATAAAAATTAAGCAACCTCTCAACAGCAATGCAATTTTAAAGCAAATCAGATAATCCTAACAGTTTGTCTTCCAACATCTCGGAATTCACACTTGAACTAGACTGCCTCTTATTCTGTCGTTATTCTGTACAAATGTCAAGACCAACTTTCAGATTATTGACACTAATTTGGACACGGCTTTTAGCATTAGAAGCTTAAACTCCTCCATCTGAAAATACCTGTAAGGACAACTGAAATTGGATTACTTCACAGGTAATGGCTTTTCAGCTGCTGTCTGAGGAAGGCACCACGTAAAATGAAGTAACAAACAAAGGTATCGTTCACACAGAGCTTGTACCCCTTCAGATGAGTGCACGTGTAAATGACTACTACTCACAAACATCCACACAAATGCACACACAAAAACCACCGTATCAGAAAAGAAGCTAAGCTGGAGCATTTGCCTCTCAAAGAAGTGTTTTCTGAGAAGAGATTTCCAACCCCTGCAGCCTGAAGTGGTATAGCCAAGGGATACAGGTTTAACACCTTGGTGAGAACTAGGCCAAAAGGTAAGGGAATGGATTACATGTCCTTATTGCTCCAGCTCTCTTAACTTTAAACACTAAGCACCACAAGGTAATACCTGATCACGCATATATAAGACCTGCTGAATTTGGTGGGAGTGGCTCTGGGTTTCTCACTCCTTCAATGATCCATAGACATAACACAAACCAAACGCAATATTAAATCAGGCCTAAAAAATCTCTGATCAACTATGGTCCCATTAGGTGCTTCACAACACCATTGTTCTGATAAGAAAGGAAGTCAAGACTACTGAACCGTAGCTACCGCCTATGACCTGAGGACTCTGTATGGTTTGATGGTTCACAAGACATCTTCAGGTCTGCTTTTCAGCTTTTTAATTGCTTATGCAGAAATACATCAGAAGCTAATGCTGTCTCTATATAAACTGATTAATAAAAACAGTAATATGGCCCATTGCGCTACAGAGCCCTATATAGGAGTTTCAGTTTTGCCAGACAGGTGCGCAGAAATTTACTATTTAAAATATCTGTTTAGTTCCACAATGCTTGTTTTTGGGAAAATTCCAGAAACATTTTCAATACCTTAAATAGAATATGATCTGATTTAGTGTGTTTGACCTTTACTTGACCTGTATTTATTAAAAACAATTTTTAACATCTCAACAGCACATAAATACTTCAGATTAGATATAAGATTAGGGGGGAAAATAGAGTACATTGCAATCGTGGCAAGAAATAGAATAGAGCATTTTCCAATAGGGCTTTTCATGAGGACTTGAAACGAACAAAAAAAATGGTTATGGATCTTCTGCAAATATCCTTACATAAACCGAAGCTCAAGGAAAGAAAATTATACACTGCTGTTTGAAATAAAAATTTTGACGTTGATTTTGATTTGACTTGGACAGCTGAAAGTGAATTTTCACCTTTATATCAGTTTGGATGACTCTGTAATTGTGGTTTTCTTTTACCCCTCACTTACAAATCTATAAAACATATATGTACTTGCATGTGTACTCATATATTTCCAAGGAATAATAGTCTGAAAAAGCTTAAGCAAAATTTTGATTACCTCATATCAGGTTCCCTCTTTTTTCTTTCCCCCTTTCCTTCCCCCTTGGTTTCAGAAGCAAATTCTTGCCCCAGCTAAAAACCAGCTCCCTTTGAGCCCAGCCCCGTCTTTCCTTCCAGACAAAATATTACAACTTAGAAAGAAAGAGAGGTTTAGAATAGATAACATTCACATGACAGCTATCTGGAAGATATACTGCATCAGAATTTGAGTTGAACTGATCACATATAGATTTCAATGACACTGCTATATATATAAACAAAAGATACACACCAGTATACATCAAACAATACCTCACAACAAAAACACGAATGACAAAATCAATCATAGATCAAATATACAGTGTAACCCATCCGCTTCGGGAACATATATTTATATATATCTTCACCAATACATTTTATCTTAAGTTATATCATCTACCCCGTCTCTTTCCAAAAAAATATAATGATTCTTGTGTTTGGGTATAACTTTTTTATTTAGCAAATACGTGCTCTAAAAAAGAATTTCAGATCTCATTAAAACTGTTTTCTTTCAATAATCTTTTCGAACGTTCAATTTACAAGTTAATTTATCATTAATAGCCAGATTCCACATCTCATTGTGCCATTCTTCCAACCTCAACTGATTACTATTTCCCAGTTCCTTGCAAATATCAGTCTTGCTACTCTTAACATAATAACAGTCAGATCCATTTTTTTCTGCTGGATATGTTCTGAGGCCCAATAACAGAGAGAGTCCCTCCTGCAGTGTCTCATTATACCTCAGTCTGGTGGCCTCAGCAAGAGGGGAAAACTGACTGCTTGTCAAAACTGTAAAGTCTCTTCAGCTCAGTTGGGAAGTGCATGACTCTACAGTTGCTTAAGGTTGACCTCTGCAATTGTCAATTGCCAACCACAATAGAAATCAAATTCTTGAATGTCACATTTTTTTAAAAAATGCAAAACATTTAGAGATGAACAATCAACATATTTTATGCTCTCCACTTACCAACACAGGTGCGACTGTCATTGCTGCTGATTACGTATCCTGCAGGACAATAGCATGTTCCTCCAGATGGGGAAGAGTGACAGCGGTATTGGCAGCTCAAGGCTGCACAGCGAGATATGTCTACAAACAAGCAAGCAAACAAAAAAGGTGATTTCTGAAAACCTGTATTAAATACATGGAGATCAATAACTTGAATCTACAGACTCCAAAGTGGTAGACGTGTTAATCTTTTTTCAGCATATTGATCAAAGAAAGGAGGGGTGGGAAGAAAGGAGGCAAAAAAGAAAGAAGATGAAATCTAAAATATTGTAGTGCTTTAAAAAAAACATTTTCTGGTACAATCGTGCCTCGCTTAATGATTTTAATTGGTGCCAAAAAAAACATCACTATGGGAAAACATCGCTAAGTGAAACGCGTTTTCCCATAGAGATGCATTGAAAACCGGATAATCCTAACCCAAAATATTGTAGTACTTAAAAAAAAACATTTTCTGGTACAATGGTGCCTCGCTTAATGATTTTAATTGGTGCCAAAAAAAACATCGCTATGGGAAAACATCGCTAAGCGAAACGCGTTTTCCCATAGAGATGCATTGAAAACCGGATAATCCGTTTCAATGGGAACGGATTGCCGTCCTTAAGCAAAAATTGCCATAGCAAACATCGCTAAGTGAAATGTGGTACCCCAATTGAAATGCATTGAAACCTATTCAATGCATTTCAATGGGGGGAAAAATACAACAAATTCAAAAAGAGTCAGAACAAAGTCAAATTACTTTAACAAAGGGTTTATTAAGTGCACTTACGATTTCAAGCATTCTAAACCTTTTTTAAACATTTTTAAACATTTAAAAGACAGCCAACATGAGGCTGTCAAAACCATCGTTAAGCAAAACAGGGGGACCCAAACTGTCATCGCTATGTGAAGCAAGGTCCCAAACATCGCTATGCGAAAAATCGCCCATCGGAAACATCGTTAAACGGAGTGCAAGATCGCTCCGGAAAACTAATCGTTAAGCGATTACATCATTAAATGAAGCAATCGCTAAGCAAGGAATCACTGTATATTTATCCAAGTCCACTTCCTCAGGTGCTAGAGCGCTGAATGAGTCTGGTCAAATAAAGCCCAGGAACCCAATAAAATGGCTAATATGAAATTGGGAATTAGGTAACCTCAACTGTTCCTTTTGGGGTCCCCTGTGTTAAGGTGTGCACAGTAAAAAAAAAAACCAATGCTGTGGAGAATGAAGTCAATCAATTTGAATGAAACTCAACCAACAGCTCTGACCATCCAACACCCACTGCCAAGAATACAACTACAGGGTGCCTCGCAAGACGAACACCTTGCAGGATGAAAAACCTGCAGGACAAATGTTTTTTTGCGATCGGTGTGGTGCCTCACAAGATGGCTTCTTCTATGGCCGTGCTTCGCAAGACGATTTTTTCCCCGCAAGACCGATGCCTCGCAAGATGAAAATAATTCATTCGTCTTGCGAAGTTCCCATAGGAATGTATTGCAATGCATTCCTATGGGAAACCACTTTTCGCAAGATGAAAATTTCGCAAGACAGCGCTACTCGCAGAACGAATTACTTTCATCTTGCAAGGCACCACTGTACTGCTATGTGAGTCAAGCCAAGAAATTGGGAGGATCTCTCAGTCCTAGATCAGGGATGGGGAACCCATGTCCCTTCAGGTGTTGTTGAACTAGTTCATTTTGCCCAATTATTGATTATACTAGCTAAGACTGATGGGAGTTGAGGTCCAACAACATCTGGAGGGCCACCCCTTGCCTGGATGACCAGTTCTTGCAATTCTGGTGTCCCCTCCATCTTGATTATACCAATACTCACTGCAGAGTCTTCCTGCAGTTATGTTTGTTTCATCTTCTCCAGCAGGGCAGTCTGGTGTCCCATCACACACTTTACCAATTGGAATGCACTGTCCTGATACACGGCAGGCCCATTCGCCAGGGTAGCAATCTCGATGACCACTTTCTAAGGAAGAAAATGGAGAATCAAGACACAGAACTGTCACGTTTGTGTTCGTGGTTTGCAAAAGCATTAGGTATTTCCAGGAAGTTTTGCCACTAGCCTTTCAGCTATAGCATAACTTGGACAAGAACCAGAAGGCAAACTAGGCAATTTTTTCCTATCTTTCTCTTCCATATTCAAAATAGAGATAAAAATGATTGCATATATACAAGGTGTTCTGGAAATTAATTAAACAAGAGAGCGACCACACTTCAAACAGATTTACTGAGAGTTCCCCAAACCTAGCATTTTGCACAAAGCACATGGTCTCTATGCAAAGCAGCTTTTCACCATTCACACCCAAGCCCACTCAATATTACTTCAAATGCTGGAAAGGTTGCTTCCTTTGTCCTTTTTGGAGCTCTTATGCCTTCTTCTGTGACTTTCTGTTATTTTAAAGTTCAGAACATTTGAGCTTTCCCTTCTGCCAGCTTCAGCAACCTTTTAATGTCGCAGACAGGCTCAATTCACAGCTATATTTGGAAGTACTACAAATCTCAGTTTTTAACTTATTTATCATGCAGAATATAAACTTATTTGCATTTAAATGTTTATTTTCTTAAACCATAATGTCTCTATTATTTCCAGAGATGAATTGACAGAGTGTGCAGGAATAAACTTGGGTCTATCAAAAAATCTGCACTCAAGGTAGCTACAGCCAATTACTGCTCCCACCTTGTGTCTCTGTATATGTGGCTGCAAAGAAGTATCAGTGGAATATACCAATCATATGTATAAATTAAACTATCTTAAGGATAAACCACTATGTAACAGCTAAGTTGTTACACACTAGCTCTTAACAAGAGTGAACCAGCACCTTTGACCTAAGGAAACCTATTCACTCCAGGCTTGCTAAGTTACAGGCTAATACCTCTGGTTTATCTTTATATCCTGAACTGCACTTCAAACTTACGGTAAGTCTTTCAAAAAACCATATTAATAAAATTGTTTCTCCACTGCCACCACCAATAAATTCTAGAAGGAGATGTAAGACGTTTGGCGAATCCTGTTGTTCAACCGGGGGCGGTTCATGATCCAAGTCCAAACAAGGAAACGCCAGAGCCCAACAATGTTTGAAGTTCAACAAGGACAGTTGTAAAGATTTTATTTGCAAAAGGGGTTACTGAAGCTACTTGATTTCCTTACTTACCACAGCCTATTTCATCGTCATTATCTTCGCAGTCATCATCACCATCACAAATCCAGCTCTGATGAATACAGCGGCCACTTGGGCAAGTGTAGAAATTCCCTTTACAAGTTGCATAAGCTGAGGAAGAGAGTAACAAATGTTATTGTTGTTGTTTCGAATGATATACCACCCGACAGCACTAAAACACCCTATGGGTGGTTTACAATGTAATTATGCAAGCAACACCCCCCACCCACCCACCCCCAGCATGCTGGGTACGCAAATGTCTATTACTCAGGAACAAAAGGTCTGCACATCCCAATGTCTAAGGGATCCTCTTGACCCAAAATATGTTTAAGTGAAAATAAAACTAACAAGAGCAAGCTCAGCCCAGCAAGTCTCAGCACTCATTGCTATAATTTGGTTCACTTTTATTCCCTGCCTGTTCTGTAAGATGGGGAAACTGAATCAAAACTACATGAAATGAGTAGAGCAGACATGGCTATTCAGTAGAGAGGCAAGAGAAAAGTTGGCTTTAGGGAGGCAGTAGAGAGATATCACTAGCCAAATCTTCCTTCAAAGAAACCTGTCTCCTAGTAGATGAATAGAAAGTGCTAGGATGGATCCCGCTTTACAAAACACAGTCCTCTGTTTGAAGAGCAATCTAATCCAAATCTGGCTGAAGGATTAAAAAAAAAACATAGTAAGAAAGAAGAGCAGGAACCTTGCATTTGCCCATCAGCCACCAAGATAACACACATATCACCTGCTCATAGTTTTTGTCATGACAATGAGATATATTATACTTCTTTTAAAATCATAGTATTGTTTCTGTATCAGCAACAATACATTTAAATTTAACATCTAAATTATGGAATGCTCTGTTTTCTTTTTGGCAGTGTCATTGCTTCTCTTTTCCCAATATACAAGTGATTACCTAGGAGAGGAGCCTAGAATTCTGAACCACTATGATAAGAAAATATATACTTCACATTAAATATGCTTAATTTGATGAATATTGAGATGCCCTGACACTCATCTAGGATTGTGGGCCTATACTATTATCTATGCTGTAAGTATAGTAATACGTTTATTAGGCTAATTTAAAAAAACACACAAAAATCTATGTACAGGTGCTTGTGCCTTTGTTGGCTAGCCTAACAAAAGCAGCATTAGCACAAGGCGGATTCTGTGGTTTATCTCAACGATGAGAAAGCTACCAATGCGTTTTGCCATCTTCACTGTGTATCCAACCTTCAAACGGCCATGTCCATGCTCCACTGCTGACAAAGCTATCTGATCTTTTCTAAACAGTATGTTAGCTGCTTAATAAAACTCAACTTGGGTGTGCATTCAAAGTATTTCTACAACAATCAGTCAATCTGTGTGACTAAACCAAATGCGCACATGCCAAAGCTATTTTAAATGGAGATCGCCCTGCACAACGTATAAGTACACCCAAAGTTTAAACCAGGAAACAATCCAAAAAGCCAGTGCAACGAACAAGATAAAATCTTCTGGTATTTTAAGGGAGTTCATTATTGGATTTGAAAGGAAATGGAAAAAAAATCAAAGTGAAAATCAACGTACTGCAGGAATTTTCATCGCTCCTGTCCCCACAGTCATCATCATGGTCACAAACAAAGGCTCGGGGGATACATTCTCCATTTCCACACTGAAACTGAGCACTGGAACATCCGTGAGCTGAAAGGAATGAAGGCAGTAAGAAGATGTCCCAGAAACAGGTTCCAGCATTTAACTTATTATACAGTACGTACCTAAGACTGCATATGTCAGTTGTTCAGACTGAGCAAATGCAATGGGTACTTACTACAGTTGGCTTCATCAGAGGCATCTCTGCAGTCCACCTTGCCATCGCAGTGCTGGCTTGCATTAAAACAGGCTCCATTGGAACAAGATAACTGGTCACATGTTGGGTACTCTGCAAGAGAAAAGAGTATTTACTTCAATGTGTCAGAGTGAACTAGCAGGTGGGCAGGAGGGACACGAAGAAGTCTTTACTTCAATGTGTCAGAGTGACCTGGGAGGACTAGCAGGTGGGCAGGAGGGACACGAAGATCTACTGGGAGTTGTCTGGGTGATCTATAGTAGGGTCTTGACTCTCAATGATCTAGCAACAACTAATAAGCTTCCCCTTTCTTCTCAGTTAGGCTAACAAAAACACTTGAGAGAAAATCAGGAATGTTTTTTTTTTCTGTGAAGAACTTTGCAAACTTGGTTCCTGTAATGGCCAGAAATTCCAAGGCTGAGCATGATTCTTCCTTCTTACGGTATATGCAGTTGCTCAGGCCATTTACCTTGTACCTGGCTGGTAAATATCATGTAAAAACATAAACAGAAGTCTAAACTCTGCTCAACTCTAAACTAAACTTTACATTTAATTTCCTTTTCTTCGTGCAACATGTAGAAATAATGGACATCCGCCAGGCCATTACATTGTACCTGGCTCTGGCTGGTAAATCTCATGTAAAAACATAAACAGAAGTCTAAACTCTGCTCAACTCTAAACTAAACTTTACATTTAATTTCCTTTTCTTCGTGCAACATGTAGAAATAATGGACATCCGTGCTGTCCTGAATAATCTATCCATTCAGGCAAATGCTACATGTAGAAATAATGGACATCCTGCTGACAATAGTCTTTCACCAGCTTTCCTCTCAGGCCACAGTCTGGGAATGACTGCAGTGATAGTCAGACACATCTGGAAGGTTGCTTTGGGTCATAATCAGTTTTTTAAATTATTTCTCTCTGTTTTCACTGTCCTGAATAATCTATCCATTCAGGCAAATACTGTACTCTGAAGTAAAATACGTAGAAACAGTAACAAGGCAAAGATGAGTATTCCCTAAAATAAATATACAGTATTCTAAATAGTTTTGAAATACTTAAGTCAGCTTTCGAAATTATTTTTGCCTTCCTCAAAAATCTTCAAGGAAGAAGCTAATAGATGATTCTACCCCCTGAGCTTTCAGCCCAAGCCTTCTCACTACCACAGGGAATTTATTTCTGACAAAATGGAGATCCATAGTTACTCTCACAGTTGGATTTTTTTTTCAGTGACGTGGTTCAAGCCTCTTTAAACAAGAATTTTCCATGTTCAAATAACTGGGAGAATCTGTACTGTAATTCACCTCTCCTTATTTTTTTTCTTCAAATTCTCCAAAAAGTAGACATGATTCCACTTGCTTGTAATTAGAATTGCTTCATTTTACAAGACTCTTTCTCACAACCCATTAATTTGAAAGGTGGGGGAGGGGAAGAATTCCAAGAAGTTTCATCCTTTTCAAAAACTTATCTTTGAATTTTAAAATAATAAAAAGCTCATCTTCTGTTATTTCTTTTCAATTTAGGTGAAAGGTCACCATTCCCAATTGTGTTTTTAATTCATTTCCTAAATGAATGTAAAGGAACAGCAGTAGAACCTTAGGAGAAGATGGCAGGATAATCGTCAAGGACAGCTAGTCATTAAGGGCTAATGGGATTATCTTGACAATACTACAACAGCTGCTCGCTGCATCATAGACAGTGGCACGTATACAGAGTCTCAGACAGTGCTACAGAAATGCTTCATTAGCACATTCTTCAGCCACACCTTCATCCTCATGCAGAAACTACAGTTCACAGGAAGCCAAAATAAATAAATAAATAAACAAACAAACAAACAAACTGTGAACTTTTTTTAATTATATGTCCAACAAGCAAAAACGTCTAGCATTGTTTGCCACTGGTGATATCCTCGCTTGTGCCAGCCACACAGACTATCTACAACAATAAACATATTGCCTTTTAAAAAAAATAATAGATGTATCACTAGTTTTCATTTAACTGCTATATGATCTACATAAGGAACATGCTTTTTTTTATAGCTGGTAGCAAATTCTGATAGCATCATCTCAGACCACAGTCACACAAGAGAAATGCCCCCCTTCTTTCTCGCCTCTTCTGCTTCCTGTATAATCACACTGTTGTCACATGGCATATATCCTCTGATAGTAGTCCATACGTTTATTAACCATTCTGCTTTTTTGGGGTGAATTAGATGCGCTACATTTGTCTACTCCCCTTGAGCAGGACATATCCCCTTCCTTTTCTTGTGCCTTTCTCTGCCCACTTCCCATTTTTTTTTAAAAAATGGATGCATTGATGTCTGGGTGGTGCAATGCCTTGCTGGCCACATACTGATCTGGGCCATTTCTTCTGATTCCCAGGTTTTGTTACCATCTGTGAACCTATAGCACACTACAGTGGTGGTCAAAAGATAGTAGGAGGGTTGATGCTCTGTATTTGACAGAAATATATATCAACATGACAACATTCCTGTTTGAAAATTAATTTTTTAAAAAATTGTGGGAGTCAAACAACAGCGGGTGAGGGAGGTGGGGCTGCACTCCAGATGCACAGGAAATGAATGGGATGTCGGTTGTATTGTGCAATGAAACACAGAACAAATATAGTAGTAGTCTCCCAGTGGGCTGGATCTGATGTGGAGATAGCACATAGCAGGGAGACAAAACAATCGATAATGGCCTTTCATCATCTGACACCTCCCCCCCAAAAAGGGTCAAAATTTACAAGGAATAACTAGGAAACATTTTGCTGGTGTGACTGCACCCTCACTGTGAGAGGAATTACTGTACTACAGCACTCCACAAAATCAAAGTGAAACATATGGCAATATGACAGCTATAAGATCTAAAACATTCACTCATTGAAGGGCAAAATATGTGTGGAGAAGATGCTCAATCAGGAAAGGCTTTCCGTGCGATTGAGTTGTCCATCAATAATTAGCAGACAGGAAACTGATCAAGTGACTGACAGGTTGATGTCCTACCTATTACAATAAATTGCACTGTATATGTTAAATCACAAATCATTTAAGTGTCTGTAATCTTTTAAAATCTGCACCTATATACATCACATAGTATATGTATATAGTGTGCAAACCCATATTTTCTGCTATCTTCTCTTTTGTTGATTCCTTTCCTCTTTTCTTCAACACAGATTACATCTGCTAAAGAACTGGCATTTCAGGCTTCCAGTTATACTTTTTAAAGAGTGTTATTAAAAATGGTGTGATAAAAATAGTACTTATACAAACTGTAGACACTAACCATAAGGAAAAGAGAACTGTACTTTCTAAAGCTGAGAAGTGGGTGTTGTCTTCTGAATGCTTTCTGTCTTCTTAAAAATTTAGCAGAGTTTTTAAATGTAAATTTCTTGAAGGGGAAATAGCTGGGATTGTAACCTGCAGCAATACATTTATATAATTGGAAAGAAAACTGCTATTTTTATGAAGCACAAACAGCTTCAATACACTAATTAATCAGTCTGGAACTGAAACACTGCTTTGATGTTTATTTTTGCCTTTGCATGAGTAGGTTTTTTCCCCTTGCTGTTAATCCCATTAGCAGTAAAATGGACTGTGCCTTTGAATCTGTTCATTCCATTTTTCTTTGTGTATAACTGCTGAGTTAATACCAGGAGCATTGTGCATTTGACTGGTCTATGAAATATCATACTTCATTCAGAAACAGGGTGTTTATCTGCTGTGCCACTTAAAACAATTCCCAGCTAGAATAATGGCTCTTCCAACTCTCCTGAAGCAAATCAGCTACTTACATCTGTTTAGCCTGGCTGTTTTTGGAGGGAGAGACTGGTGACTACGACGGCAAATGAACATTGCTTTGCATCAAAAAAAAAAACAGCTTGGTAACTGTTGTTCATTTTTCAAAAAAAAAACTTATTTGGAAAGAAAAAAACAATTGTAACTTCTTTATTGGCATCTCCTTATGTCAGTACCCGGAAGAAAACAATGTTGGAGGAGATGTTCCTTAACAGAAATCAGAAGAGGTTTACAAATAATTCCCACACACACACACACACACACACAAACAACACCAATCAGAAAAGAGGGTCAAGGAGTGATGCTTTTCCCCAAAATCAAGAACATAATCTGCTATTTACAGAACTGGGCAAAATGCGGCCCTCCAGATGTTGCTGAACTGCAACTCCCAGCAATCCTAGCCCACACAGCCAGTAGTGAGGAGTGTTGGGATTTATAGTTCAGCAACATCTGGAGGGCCGCATTTTGCCCAGGTCTGTGCTAGCAGGAAGTATCTACTTGTGCTGTAGATTTCTTGCCAAAACAATGGGGTTCCCTTACTCCTCTCAGTCACAGAGCTCACAAATTTGTGAATAGTTCCTATGAGATCTGCCCATCTGCATACAACCTTTGAGCAGAGCCCTTCGCTGTCTGTATAATTGTACGAAATAAAATACAGTATAATGTTGCATCTGTACAGCAAAAAAAAGTTAAAATTTCTGATCAGTAAATGGGCAGTGCAGGAAAATCGCCCCAGAGGGAGACCACAGCTGCAATACAAGGATATCTGGAAGCGGGATCTTAAGGCCTTAGAAATAGACCTCAACATATTGGAAACCCTGACATCTGAGCGTTCAGCCTGGAGGCAGGCACTGCATCACGGCCTCTCCCAATTTGAAGAGACCCTTGCCCAGCAGGCTGAGGCAAAGAGGAAGTCACAAAAGCAGCAAAACCAGGGAGCTGGACAGGGGACAGATTGGGGTTGTCTTCAGTGGGGAAGAGGTTGTCACTCTCGAATTGGCCTCCTCAGCCACACTAGACGCTGTTCCAAGTCCTCCATACAGAGCACGTTACCATAGTCTTTCGAGACTGAAGGGTGCCTACTACTAAATGGGCCCGGATTGGTTAGGCCCCCAGGAGGAGTGTTCTTCATTTGCTTCAATTGTTCCTTATGGATGTGTGAGTTTCTGGAGCCCACCATCTTGGATTGTGCTGCCTGCCTGTTATACTGCCTTCCTCTGTGCCTCCATCACTGATCTTTTCCTTTTCATTGTTTTGTTCTTCTCTGCCAGCGTCCCTCCTTGTGATTACTTTTTTG